TAGATCCAAGCCTTAAGAATTGATTAAATTAAATATTGTAACTTGGAAAAGATTCCATTCTAGAAATTGAACTCCTATGTAAGTAAGGCTAAACAAATCAATGAAGCTGCAAAACATTACTTCTTGTATCACAATGGAGTTTACTTTCGGAGTAATACCCACCAACCATTTTAGCACTGATTTCTGTCTAAAAATGGCAATTCATGTTCTACTGAAAGAAGATATGACAAAGGGCTCAAATTTTGTGATCTCTGCTTTGTCATTCCATGTTGTGTTGAGCTTGATTGCAGTGGGTTCAAAAGGGCGTACTCTAGAGCAGTTGCTTTGGATTCTGGGATCCAAAAATGCTGACGATCTCATCTTGCTGTCATCTCAAATGATTTCCGTTGTTTTGTAAGCCAACGATGAGGGCGACAATCAAACAGCAGGTCCAACCTTGTCCTTCATTAATGGTGTTTGGGTGGCTGAAGGATTCAAACTTAAACCCTCTTTTGAAGAAGTTGTCAGAGGCGTTTACAGTGCCACAACCAAAGAGGTTGACTTCATGAATCAGGTAAGGCTAAATCTATTTACTTCAACTCTAAATTTACCATATTTTAGGAAGTTTGAGAAGTGATTCATATGCTTCTTCATGTAGAGTGATCAAGTGAGAGATGAACTAAATAGATGGGCTGAGAATGCGACCAATGGACTCATAAAAAATCTGCTCCCAGAAAGGGGTTTGGAAAGAGAAACAGTTTTGATTCTCACAAATGCACTCTACTTCAAAGGCGCATGGACGGAAAAAATTGATGCCTCAAGAACTGAATACAAAGACTTCTACCTTCTCAATGGCCAGACTGTTCGTTTTCCCTTCATGACTAGTCGAAAACATACATATCATTTTTTACAGATCCTTTGATGGTTTTAAAATTCTGAAAATCCCCTACAGAAATGGTCAAGACACCAGGCAATTCTCCATGTACTTCTTTCTTCCAGACGCAGTTTATGGTTTTGAGAACTTGGTAAACAGATTCAAGTCCAATCCTCAATTCTTCTCTAGACAGTTCAATTTACAAAAAGAAGAACTTTCAGCTTTTTGGATCCCCAAATTTAAGTTTTCATTTGAGCTTGAAGCTTCGAAAGCTATGGAGGAACTGGGAATTGGATTACCTTTCAATCCCATGGTGCGGGAGATAACTGAAATGGTGGACTTTCCAGCACTTTTCGTTTCACAGATGTTCCACGAGTCTTATTGTTGACGCTTGATTTTGGATGCCAACGACTCGCACGTGGGAAACGCTGAGCTGACTCAGGAGACACACGTGATGGATCCATGAGATTTGAATATGGAGCTGAGATTATATATTTTGCAGAAAAATAAATAAAAGATTGGCAAGAGGGGGTTTTTTATAGTGGTTCGGATGCTCAACAAACGACTCATACATCCACTGTTATTTTATTGCTCACTGAATATTTCTATGATTTTGCCCGTAAAGCATACAAAGATGAAGAAATACAGTGTTTATAGAGAGAGAATGAAAATGAAGCTCAAATCTCAGCCCAACCCCCTTCTTCGGGAAGGGGAGTGTCCATTTATACACCTAAACACTCAATGTAATGAGTGTTTTGCAAGTTGCCTTGACACATGGAAGACTCTCGTCCATTCATTTCTTGAAAGGAGATATGGTTGGTGAGAATATCTTTGGAGATATGGGCTTGGCAGCTGGTACAAGAAGACATTAAATGAGCTGACATAGGCGTGACTTTTTAGGCATAACAGAAGCCCCCCAGTTTTTGGAGTGCGTAATCGCGCTTTAGAAACTAAGGTCATTGATCTGAATTGCTGCAGTCTCGAACTGAGGAGCTCGACCTGAAATCTGTTAGGAGCTCGACTTGAAAATAAAACGAGCTCAACTTGAGAGCAAAACGAGCTCAATCTGAGCAAAACGAGTTCAATATGCACATAAGGAGCACGACCTAGGCTCGACCTGAATGCATAACAAGCACGATCTGAGCTCGACCTTAGCACATAACGAGCACAACCTGGGCTCGACCTGAGCATATAACGAGCATAACCTAGGCTCAACCTGAGCACATAACGAGCATGACCTGGGCTTGACCTAAACGAATAACGAGCACGAGGTCGTTCTGAGCACATAACGAGCACGATCTGGGCTCGACCTAAACGAGCACGACCTGGGCTTGACCTGAGCACATAATGAGCACAACCTAGGCTCGATCTGAATGCATAACGAGCATAACCTGGGCTCGACTTGAGCACATAACAAGCACGACCTGGGCTCGACCTGAACGCATAACGAGCATGACCTGAGCTCGACCTGAGCACATAACGAGCATGACCTAGGCTCAACTTGAGCGTGTGATAAGCGATCTGGCCACGTGATCTGGGTGATCTGAACACGTGATATGAACGGTCTTGAATGTGTGATTTGAGCGTGTGATCAGCGATCTGACCACGCACTTGGAGAATTCTGACATGTGCTATCTGCGATCTGGCCACGCGATCGAAGAACTCTGACACGTGCGATCTGCAATCTGGCCAAGCGATCGAAGCTCTAATGCGTGCGATTAGCGATCTGGCCACGCGATTGGAGAGCTGATGCGTGTGATCTACGATCTGGCCACGTGATTGGGGAACTCAGACGCGTGCAATCTATGATATGTCCACACGATCGGAGAACTTGGATGCAAGTTTGAGAATCGGACCTACATGGGCCACCAAACTGTTGACGCTTGATTTTGGACGCTAACGACTTGCACGTGAGAAACGCTGAGCTGACTCAGGAGACACACGTGATGGATCCATGAGATTTGAATATAGAGCTGAGATTATATATTTTGCAGAAAAATAAATAAAAGATTAGCAAGAGGGGATTTTTATAGTGGTTCGGATGCTCAACAAGCGACTCCTACATCCACTGTTATTTTATTGCTCACTGACTATTTCTATGATTTTGCCCTAAGGCATACAAAGATGAAGAAATACAGTGTTTACAGAGAGAGAATGAAAATGAAGCTCAAATCTCAGCCCAGCCCCCTTCTTCGGGAAGAGGAGTGCCCATTTATATACCTAAACAATCAATGTAATGAGTGTTTTGCAAGTTGCCTTGACACATGGAAGACTCTCGTCCACTCATTTCTTGAAAGGAGATATGGTTGGTGAGAATATCTTTAGAGATATGGGCTTGGCAACTGCTAAAAGAAGACATTAAATGAGCTGACATAGACGTGACTTTTTAGGCATAACATTTATATTGAAGTTAATGAAGAAGGGACTGAAGCAGTAGCTTGTACTGCTGCTATAACGATACCGTATTGTGCAAGTTATCAGGTAGCAAGTTTTGTAGCAGACTGTCCTTTCATGTTCATGACAAGAGAAGAGACATCTAATATTGTGTTCTTTGTTGGGGCTGTGCTGAATCCGCTCATGGAGTCTTGAACTTTAAAAAGGGTTATAATTGATTTAATAGAAATAAGTTCTCAATTTGTATCATGTTTTGTAATGTTTTAAGTGTAATATCTATTGGGTTGTAATAATTGAAGTTATATTCATATTTTGTTCAATATTACGATATGTTCCTTAATTAGTAATCAAGCTATACTTTAAAGTACTGTAAAAAGTCTTCTTTATTGATATCATCCTCTTCAAGCAGAATGACTTTTAGTTCACTATCAATTCTTCCACAACATCTTTTACTTGCTTTCACATTAACACCATAAAAGCTTCAACATCTTTTGATTACAACTTTGACGATTCAAAACTTGAAACTTTGATTATCAATGCATGTGGTGACTTGTGTCACCAAAGATTCCAACTTTGCAGCATCATTTTTTTTCTTTTTTTATCACCGGGGTTGTTCGGGTAAGTTTGTGCGCACCTCAACTAATCTTCCAGTGCCTTAAAACCGTCGGTCAGGTAAGAGCCCTAGTGGCCACTTTTATTAGTGGCTAGAGGGACTCAAACTCAGGAGCACATGAAACATTTTTTTGCTCTTTTACCATCAGGCCATTGGGTGGACTGCTAGTTAACTTTGCAGCATCAATGATATAGAAAATTTTATTAAAGGTGTTGATTTATTTTTCTTTTAGTATAAAACTGAGTCAACGACTTTTTCTCATCCAAAACTTTCGAAATACAACTTTCCAACCCAATGTTTATATTATGATCAATCGTCGACCGATTTTCGACTTACTTGCGACCCCACGCCATCACCATTCTCTTCCCCGATCATCACTTACCAAAACCCTCAAACCTTACTCTCGACAACCCCATCAATCGCCGATAATCGAGTGATTTGTGTAATGCACAACTGCCCCTCTTAAGTCAGATTCTGACTAATCCTAACCTCCAAAATCCAACCTGCCACCACCAAAGGATTCATCCACATTTACTCTTCAAAAGCCCGAACAACCAGGACCGAGTTTTCTCTCTATTAGCCACCGAATCGAAAAGTGTATTTTAAATAGTAAATGAAATATAAACTTTGGGTTGGAAAATGGTATTTTGAAACTTTTTGGGTGAGAAAATGTCATAAAGGCAAACCTTGGGTGGTAAATAGTCGGTTACTCATAAAACTATTCGTAATTGCTGCATTCAATAAGACAAAGCATCAGTTCCCCAATCAGTTTCTGAAATATTTGGGTGACAAAAGGGATATATAGAATCAATGAATGATGTTATAAATTTTTACTTAATAGTGAGTTGTGGTTAAACTTGGGAAACAAACACATTGTGAAATTTGCAGGGAGAAGTGAGTGGTGGAGTTTGAACACATGAAATTTGTGGCTGCTCTCGTGAACCAACAGGGACCCAACCATCTTCATTGCTAATTTTACACCAACAAAGGAACAAACTCAGTAAATGTAACCAACAAAACCAAACCAGCAATCCTCAGCTTCTATTTCTTCCTTTTGAGCTGTTTAGAATTTAAGTAAACCTGTATTCACGGCTCCTACTTAATTAACAGTTTCCATGAATAACTTTTAGACCGCCTTCTCCTCTCATAAATATAACCTGAGATAACTTTATTTTTCATATATTCCTTAAACATAGAACAAAATATGCAGCATATTTTGTCCTAGTATATGGAAAAAGCTTAGGCTATATCTATATAAAGCCACTCTTATTCTCACTCTTCCTCACATTCACGTGCCTAGAGATAAGTTGAGAGAGCATGAGAGGCTTGAAAATCATGTCTTGGTTTTACACGATATTCTTTCTCAGTTTCACCATTTGTAGTCTTGAGGCTAGAAGTAACAAGAAGCTTCATTCTGCTGTTGTTGTTGGCAGTGTCTACTGTGATACATGTTTCCAGGAGGATTTCTCTAAGTCTAGTCACTTCATTTCAGGTTCAATTCTACAACTTTTGTTCTAGCTTTTTTAATGGTTGTTGGGGTTTTTGTTTTGCTCTTCTGGGATGAAAATTTTATGGGATTTTTTGTGCAGGTGCATCTGTCGCTGTAGAATGCAAAGATGAGACTTCAAAACCGAGTTTTCGACAAGAAGTGAAGACAGATGAGCATGGAGAATTCAAGGTTCATCTACCATTCTCAGTTAGCAAACATGTCCGGAGAATCAAGAGCTGTTCAGTGAAACTGATCAGCAGTAGTGAGCCGTATTGTGCTGTGGCCTCATCACCAACTTCGTCTTCACTCCGGCTCAAGTCAAGAAACGAAGGAACTCACATATTCTCAGCAGGATTTTTCTCCTTCAAGCCACTAAAACAGACAAATCTATGCTACCAGAAACCAAGCCTGGAAAATTCAGAAAAATTTAACGGCAAAAAAGCCTCTTTTCCTCCAACTGATGAAAATACACCATTTCCACCTCCAATTCAAGACCCAACAATGCCTGGTCTTCCTCCGTTAGACCCATCCCATCTTCCTCCACTTCCTTTGCTACCAAGACTACCGCCATTGCCACAACTTCCTCCTCTTCCACGTCTTCCAGGACTTCCATACCTTCCACCATTAGCAGGGAAAAAAAAAACTACAGAAAAAAACCCTGAAGAACTATCCAAGGAAACTCACACTCAACTATCAGAATCACAACAAAAGGAGGTAGATCACCCTGATACTTTCCTTCCTCCATTGCCACCAAACCAATTTTTGCCACTTCCAATTCTACCACCAAATCCATTTCAGCTACCTCCACTCCCTTTTCTGCCACCGCCACTTTTGCCTCCAAATTCTATAGTCCCTCCTCCTTCTCCAATTATTCCATTGCCGCCAGTTCCAGGACTAACTCCACCATCGCCACCTTCATTTCCAATTCCTCTGCCTCCGGTCCTACCTTCACCACCGCCTCGTATCCCAGGAATTCCTCCCGCTTCTTCTTCACCTTGACCCAATTCTATATCCATATATCCATCTAATTTCTGCAATAGTACCTTTCACATTCCCTTTTCATTATTGGTAGTGAATTATGATATAACTATGGCAGTGATGAGATTGTCAGTATAACGAGCTTGATGTTTTTGGAGTTATGTAATGTGCCTGTCGTCAATAAAAATTTAGGACAAAAGAAATTATTGTACTTACTATTTAGAATAAAGCTATGTTTCTAGTCATGCGTGTGACAGGCCTTACTCTGTAAATTTTTATTGTTAATGTAATTTGAATATGCGTTGTTACTTTTCATGGAATTGCTGATGGCAAGAATTCTAGAATTAAAGTGCAAAAGAAGACCTAACACGGTCGAATCCCCTTAAGGATAAGAGAGTAAAAGGATAATCTAATATGGTCTCTCAAGAGGAGAATCTAACATTGTTTTCCAAGTTCGAGTCCCTACGGCTGCTAATAGGGGTAGTTACTGAAACTCGTGTCTGGTCGATAGTTTTAGGGTTTTGAAAGATTAGTTGAGATATACGTAAATTGGCCCGATCACCTTCAATCATAAAAAAAAAAAAAAAAAAAAAATGACACATCACCTCTTAGCCATTTCCAAATGTAAAGGAACCAGCTGCTATGTAAACAACCTCACAATACTACATATGTTGATAAGGCCAAACATTAAAAAAAATAAAATAAAAAAACAAATGTATCATCAAAATATTCTGAACCAAACAAAAAGGTTCACAGAACTGCATTAATTCCCCTGGGGACCCCTTTTTCATCAATCAAGACATAAAAAAATGGTATGGTCAAAATTATGGTTGCTTTGCAAACCACCACACTAATGTTTGCTTAACCTCCATCCAGCACCGGTTAAGAGTCTTAAACTTTTTGTTCCTCCGTAACATAGTCTCATAGACCCAAGCTCATGTATGTAAACTTCCATACAGAATATATTTAGAAACACTTCTTCCAATTCCCTACGTTTTAATACCAAAGAAAAGCAACCTTTGAATTAAATGTATGGTTTTATAAATTTGTACATAAAGAGTAATGAATTAACTAATGTCATTCTGTAGAATGCTTTCAATAATTGATTTACAAATATAGATTAAGAGCCCTAAACACAAATGGTTGGGATCTGGTTTCCTTTAAGGATCGCTTTAACGTNGCTTTAATTCCCCTGGGGACCCCTTTTTCATCAATCAAAACATAAAAAAATGGTATGGTCAAAATTATGGTTGCTTTGCAAACCACCAAACTAATGTTTGCTTAACCTCCATCCAGCACCGGTTAAGAGTTCTTGACTTTTTGTTCCTCCATAACATAGTCTCATAAACCCAAGCTCATGTATGTAAACTTCCATACAGAATATATTTAGAAACACTTACTTCCAATTCCCTATGATTTAATACCAAAGAAAAGAAACCTTTGAATTAAATGTATGGTTTTATAAATTTGTACGTAAAGAGTAATGAATTAACTAATGTCATTCAGTAGAATGCTTTCAATAATTGATTTACAAATATAGATTAAGAGCCCTAAACACAAATGGTTGGGATCTGGTTTCCTTTAAGGATGGCTTTAACGTTTGAACAAGATGATGTGCCTGGACCTGCTTCAGCGTCATTGTAAACCAAGTTGATATCACCAATCTCCACATTTTCACATGGGTTCACTGCACTACAGATGAGATTAACTGCAACCTCGGAGGAGGAAGTGCCGCGACTGTTGTTGTACTTAACATTGCTGATCTTCACTCTTGAAGGAACCTATACAAATTAATAGTAATCACCAGGTTAGCTAACAATTGGCTGGTTACATTACAATTTCAGGAATCAAAAGCAAACCATATTAACTAGTATCATGTTCGTATACCTTTTTGTTACAAGAATTGTTCGGGCAGTACTCCTGATCAATAACAATGGGGTTTTGCACATTATCCATGACAATGTCTTCAAATGTTAAATTGGAAACTGTGCTCTCATAAGAATCAGGCCATGTCTGGATTCTTACACCATTACTCATGCCTGTGAAGGTGCAATTTTGTACTGTCAAACCGGTAATAGCTTCCTCATTTGGAGTCCTTCCAAGACTACCAACACTAATCCCATGTCCTTGTCCACAGAAAACATCGGAGACTAGAATGTTTTCACTTCCAGGACTAACAGAGACACAAGCATCACCAGTACTTATCGCTGAATCGTAGATCTTAATCCCTTTTGATGACCCAACTTGAATTCCACCAGTGTTGGGACTATCTCCAGGTGTTGAGATCTTAATAGATTTTATCTTCAGGTTGTAGCAGGCAAAAACATTGATATGAACTTTCTTACCATCAACAGATTTTATTTCTTTAATTGTTGAGTCGGTTACGAAATTGAATCGCAAAAACTGTCAAAACACAAAACGAGTAAAGAAGTGGTATCAAATCAAAATGTAAGGCATATTATTAATAAAAGTACTCACAACAGGAAGCTTGCACTTTAAATTTTTGTTGCGATCGTTTTGTGGCCATGTAGTTTGTCCTTGGCCATGGAAAATCCCACCTCCCGCGAGGGTCAAGTTTTTAAGGTGATCCAACTACGCTTGTCAACAAACATTGATAGATCAGTAGGAGCCTTCACAAACCCTTTCACTATAAAGGACATTTGGACCTTTGCATAGACCTTCAAACACCATTGAACTGACCAAGTATTTTCCTTTCAGAACCAAAGCCTTGCTCTTACCATTTCAATCACAAGCTTTTTTCCAAGCAATACTAAAAGCCTAAGAGTACAAATAATAGAAACCTAATAGTTAATATATAAAAATCTTTGAGATTATCTGCTACTTTGAGTTTTGTCATGGCCTACTGTAGTAAACAATCAAGTATAATTAAAGAAACGAAAAAGAGAGTTATAGTTAATCATTCTAACCTCCTTGTCATCGTTCTCGCAATTTGCTGCAGGCCGAAATCCATTACATTGAAAACTGTTTCATTTATTTCACAAACATTTTTGGATAAAATACTTGTTGAGAGTAGAAACTGAAACCCATCTTTAAATGGTAACTATATAGATTGATGAATGTTAATTAAATAATTAATTGGTGCTTTACTTTCAATCTAAAGGCATTTATAGATTTTCATAGAACTCTGTCGCCTCTGATTCTCGTTTAACTTCCATATGGTAATATTTTTAGGCTTTTAGTAAAATTATTGGCTTGTGTTTAATCAGCATGGTTTTCTAAGTAACTTAATACAACTAGCTAATAGTTAGTTGAGTAACTTCTTGTAGATAGTATTGCTTATGGTTACTAAAACTTGGGGACAAGCAAGCTAGTACACAAAAATAGAAAAAAGAAATGTTTTATTTCAAGAAATTATATACTTCAAATAATTAAANTTCCAGTTCAAAATTTGGTGGAACAAGCACTATGTGATTCCAGTTCCAATTCCACCACTTCAGGAATGAGAACCGAAAAAGGGAGCTGAAACCAGAACTGAGGTCCAGGTATCCGAGGTGGAACCGACGGGTACACGGGGTGTATTTGTAATTTCTTTAAATAGTTGGGGTATATTTGTAATTTTTATAGGGTATATTTGCCATTTTGTGAATAATAGGGGTGTATTATATTTTATGTGAAAAGTGTCAAATACCTGGAATTAGAATAGGAACATGTGGTTCAGATCCCATTTCTAGGCTAGAGATGGCAATGGGCCAGGTTGGGACCGAGTACCCCTTGGCCCAGGCCCAGGCCCAAGCCTGACCTCATGACAAAAGCCCAGTCCCAGTCCCAGCCCAGACTCGTCACCGGGATGACGGGTAAAGCCCAAGTCCGGCCCAACAGGCCTGGCCCAATCCCGCCCATTTTTATAATGTGAATATTTAAATATTAATAAATCTCAGTTTATATATATATATATAGGATAATTCTGTAATTAGATATATGTATTATAAGGGTAATTTAGTAAAACTGGCAGGCCGAGCTAGGATTGAAGACATACTCATACCCGACTCGTACTCGAGGGCGGGCCTGTAAATCAGTCCCAGACCCAAGCCCAAGCCCGCTAACACTAGGTAAAGTCTGGCCTTTTCGGGACGGGTGGGGCTGGGTACCCAGAAATACCAAACCCATTGCCATCTCTATTCTAGGCATTTAGGAACCGAAACTAACTGATTCCAGTTTCTAAATCGTAAGAGCCGGTTGGTTCCAATTCCAAGGGTTTGGGCCAAGTACCTGAACCCGCCTACCCCTAGTTTCAATATCTTTCGGATCAAATAACCTAAATTGTATATTGATTTTATCAACTCTAAAGAACCATAGAAGATCTTTGAATCTTCAATATAATTAATTTAAAAGAAATAAGTTTTAACTTTTTTATCTTGCTCTGAAACGTTTGGGTTTGGAGTCAATTGGGTTGTGATAATTGAAGTTCAATATAGTATATGATATGGTTTCTCTTGAATCTTAATTACTTGCAAAATCAAGCTTAGAGAAAGAGGGGTTGCTAAGAAGATAGAGACACAATTCATTGTTTAGAAATCAATTGCGTTATTCAAACGCGAAGCATTTAACAATAGAAACAAAAACGCTTATCGATGAGGATCCATATTCACCTTAGAGTTTAGACCCAAAATCAATTAGTCAACTAGATAATTACTTTTTGATCAATAAGATTCGGGTTAAGTGTAATTAAACTTATTGGTTTTCAATAGAAAAATAATTCTAACAAAGAATTTTAATTACAACACTATTTTATTTTTACCTTTGAACCAATTTCTGGGTGATCGAGTGGTTTAATAAAAACTCTTAAGTGTATTATTCAGAAAGTTTTGAGTTCGAGTCGCTCCTCGGTTGCTAATAGGAGTGACTTCTAGAGCTTTTATCTGGGCGATATTTCCAAGGTCTCGAGGGATTAGTTGGGGTACACCTAAGTTGGTCAGAAAACCCCCCGGTCATTAAAAATAAAAAAAATAAATAAAAAAGGGTGTATTTGTCACTTTTGAGAACCTCTGACCATAACTATATTTAATCCAGACCTTAAGATGAAAATGTTATTATATCTCAACTAGTCAACTAAATGAAAAACTACTCATTTAAATAATAATTAAAGTTGCAACTTGCAAGTGAATCCATCCATTGAAGCGCCTACAAAAGTGAATGCCAACCGAGTTAATGAAGTCGTAGAGCACCATAGACTTTTGTTGTGAATCTGCGATCAACATGGAGTGCTCTGTACAGATGCCAACTAGCCATTTTAATACTGATTTCTGTCTGTTAATGTCAAGTCATGTTCTTCTGAAAGAAGCACTAGCGAAAGGCTCAAATTTTGTGATCTCTCCTCTTTCATTTCATGTTTTGCTGAGCTTGATTGCAGTAGGCTCAAGAGGACGTACATTACAGCAGTTGCTTTCCTTTCTGGGATCCAAAAATATTCAGGATCTCACCTCTCTGTCTTCTCAACTGATTTCCCTTGCTTTGCCAGCCAATCATGAGAACAACCACAACTTAGGAGGTCCGACTTTGTCCTTCATTAATGGTGTTTGGGTAGCTGAAGGCTACATAATTAAACCTTCTTTTGAAGAAATTGTGAGAGGTGTTTACAATGCCACAGCCAAAGAGGTTGACTTTGAGAATAAGGTAATGTTGAGTTTATTGTATTGGTGCTTGCTTTCTAAATATTTTATTTGTTTGCTTTTCTGACTGTGATTTTAAACAAAACTGGTCTACATGACTGCATCTAACCAAACTCTAAAGACTTCGATACGTAAATCCTTCAGTGACAAATTTATTTAACGCTTTTTCTTGTAGGCTGATGAAGTGATCAATAAAATAAATACTTGGGCCGAGAATTCAACCAATGGACTCATCAAAAACCTGATCCCACAAGGGGCTGTGCCTAGAGACACGGTTTTGGTTCTTGCGAATGCACTCTACTTCAAAGGTACATGGGCTAAAAAATTCGATGTCTTAAGAACTCAACACAGAGATTTCCATCTTCTAAGTGGCCAAACTGTTACAGTTCCCTTCATGACTAGTCAAAAACCTGCATTACATCTTTACGGATCCTTTGATGGTTATAAAATCCTGAAACTCCCCTACAGAAATGGTCAAGACACCAGGCAATTTTCCATGTACTTCTTTCTCCCAGAAGCAAGACATGGTCTTCAGAATCTAGTAAACAGATCCAGGTCAAATCCTAAATTCTTCAATACGCAGTTCAATTTACAGTATGAGGAGCTTCCGGATATGTGGGTTCCAAGGTTCAAGTTCTCATTTGAATTTGAAGCTTCAAAAACAATGATGGATCTGGGACTTGAACTACCTTTCCAGTCCATAAATAAGGAGATAACAGAGATGGTGGACCGACCACTTTTCGTCGAAAAGATGTTTCACAAGTCTTATATTGAAGTTAATGAAGAAGGAACTGAAGCTGCAGCTTGCACTGCTGCTATAATAATCCCGCAATGTTTAAGGTACCCAATACCAAGCTTTGTAGCAGACCATCCTTTCATGTTCATGATCAGAGAAGAGACATCTAATGCTGTGTTCTTCGTTGGGGCTATACTCAATCCATTTTTGGAATCTTGAACTTGAGAAATGATTAGAATATATTATACAGAAATAATTTTCTATATTATATAATGCTTTGTAATGTTTAAGTTTAAAGTCAATTGGGTCGTAAAAATTAAAGACCTCTTTGTTTGGTATATAATATGATATCACTCTAAAATGTGAAATGGAGAATATATGTTTCTTTTGTTGGTTGTAATTTGGGTATAATCTCATAAAAGTTTTACTTTTATTACATCTTAGGGGTGTTAAAGAGAGAGCGAAATGAAAGAAAATAAGGGCTCTTTCGTTTATTAATTATTATGTGTTTTTCTTTTGCGTTTCCTTGTCTGGAAACTATCAAAATTCACGTTCGGATACATTTCTCTAAAAATTTTAATGAACCAAATGGTTCAATAGAGACTTTTAGATATATTACTCGAGAGGTAATGAGTTTAAGTCTCTTCTTTGTTACTAATAGGGGTAGCCACTAGAGTTTTTATCCAGCTAATAGTTCAAGGATCTCGAGAGATTAGTCCAAGTACGCGTAAGTTGGCCCAGACACTCCAATCATAAAAAAAATAAATAAATAAATAAATGAAAAAACTTTATGTGTAACACATTTTTATAAACAATTAATATATTGAATTATACAATAATATTTATTTATCTTTTATCTTTTATTTAATAATTAAAGTCCTCTTGCACTCTATTTAATTGCTTTTTTTTTTTTTTTTTAATGATTGGGGTATTCAGACCATGATTGTCAAATCGGGTATTGTATCGTGTATCGAAAACCTAATTTTTTGAATCGCGTATCGTATCGTAAGATAAGCTTTTTTCAAAAAAATTAATAAAATAATCAATATTTTAAAAAAATTAATATCATTCCCAAGATTAATTAAAGAGTTTTGTGGTATTATTGGTTTTAAATTATGGTATTACATTATCAAAATTAAGAATTTATATTAGATCAATGATATCTCCACTTATATTATTATTATCATGTAAAATTGGTAACACGTATTCCTCTTCACTTTCTTTATACAAAATAGGTAAATTTAGACAAGTTTTAGTGAATCAGGTTGGTGACCCGATTTCGACCCGAAATTTTTTTGGGTCTTTGGCCGAATTTAATAAAGTCGTATCGATCTATATCAATATTTTTAAGGATACGAACGGATACGTATCGTATTGTAGGATACATATCAACGTATCGAAAGGTTTAGGATACACTCTCTGATACGTATCGTTGGTCACCTGTATCGAATCGTATTGTATGATACGTATGGGGTATTGTAGGATACTAACAACCATGATTCAGACCATCTTACGCGTATTTTAATTAATCTTTCAAAACCTTAGAACTATCGATCAAGTAGCACCTTAACTAATACTGGCCAAATAAGAGCTCCAGTGATTACCCCTATTAGTAACCTATGAAGGATGCAAACTCAGGATCTCTTGAATAATACACCCAAGAGTCTCTATTAAACCAATCGACCAACTAGAGGTAGTTTATTTAATTACTTCATAATCAAGTTTAATTAAAGCAAATAAGTCTTCAAACAGAATATAATCGAGAAAAAGAGATTGTTATTATTAAGGGACCAAAATAAAATAAGTAACATCACCAAGCAAATTTGCAAAACTAAACATGACCTAGCCACTCTCACTCTCCAATGTTTTTTTAATCCGAATTGGGCCTTAACCGGATCGAGGGGCCGATCCTTAGGTCAGGCGGTCTGATTGGTGGTGACATCATATTGATGTTAGCATGATATAATAAAATTTTAAAACTTTAGTAATTAATAAATTTTTAATAGTTAATAAATTTTATGCTGATGTCATCGATTCTTTGAGTCTGCAGTTGAACAAGCGACTTGGCATTGTTCCGCCAATAAAACCCTGAGTCAATCTGGTCCAATGACTAAAATAGAATTTATCCATTCAGAAGACCAAATTAGGGATTGGTTCCTAGTCAAACCAAATTAGGGACTATCAAATTAACAACAGTAAGTAGTATTTATCTATTTATTTATTTATTTTAAAATTAAAATTTTCTCTTCCAACAAAAGGTATATTAAATAAAATAAAATATTTATAATTTTTTTCTAATCTAGAATTTTAAAAGAAAAGGTATATTAATAAAGCTTTAGAAATGAAAAAAATAAATCAATAAATAAAAATGAGAGAGCTTAGTTGTAACGTTAACATAAACAAGTGGCTGCTTTTCTCTTCGGGTTCCAGTAATAACTGGCTTCATTTACCTCACAAAATTCAATCGCTTGATGCTCAGATTCTCAGAACAAAAGAAAAGCAAGGAGTGACAGAGAAATATACAATTCTCAAGGTTGGATTTCTTTTAACAAGTTTATTTTATATCGATTCTTGGTCTTTTGTGTTTCTAATTTATTTTCAACATTTTCGATTTTTCTAGGGTTGTTTAATTTTCATGAATTGATCTGTTTCGTGATCCGTTCATCCGATTGTTGTTTTTTTCGTTGTTCCTCATTTTAGATTACTAAAATCAAAATCTGTTTGTGTAATGAGTTTTAGTTGATTTGGTGATTTTATTTGATCACTTGTTCGGCGATCTTTTGGAAATTTGTGGGTATTAAATTTTATATGTAATATGAATTACGATTGTTCTTAAAATGGGAAAAAGTAGAGACAATATAACGGGGATATCTGTTCTTATTAGAAAGAAATTGTGGGGAAACAAGCGATCATTTTGTAAAGTTTACACCTTGGGTTTTTTGGAAGGATCTGGGACATATAACATGAAGTGGGGCTAGGCGGCAAAGATACCATTCGCAGGCCACTTATTATGCTCATGAATTTGTTGGACTAACTGCTACCGAACTTGTGGCGGGATTATGTTTTAGCATTCATTTCTTTTGTTATAGTTTGCTCTTTGATGCATACGTGTGCATATACGAATGGATTATTTGAAGGCTGATGAGTTAATAGAGAATTTTCTTGCATAGAAATTTGGATAAAAGATATGTATTCTGTTGGCACAGTATAGCAATTTTTCAGTTGCTGTGATTGTATTTGTTCATTCTATTTATCTGATTGTTCCTCTTTGAATGTCAACCAACAGGGTTTAAGAGATATCAGCTTTTCGACCTTGAAATGTTGGCTTTATTCACGGATAATGACATGAAATGGTCTGATCGGAAGAGGTGATTGGGAAAACAAATCCGGGAAAATTTGAGATGAATGTGGAGGTACGTAGTAATGTGCATGGTTGAAAACATGCATGAGTGTATTTTGATTTTTAAAATATGGTAAATGTCTTTTTGATTTTCTTTATTTGATTTCCAAGTTTGTAAGAGTTAGATAGGATACAAGCTTATAATAGACGCGTGGCTGAATTTTTGTATAAAATTTAGAGTTTGTGGGATTTGGTGCTCCAAATAAAAAGTTTACCATTATGGATTGCTTTTACCAAAATTAGCTAATAGATAACATACAAGTCACTGTGTGCAAAGGAAATTTCTGAGTTATAGCTACGTGTTGGTAGGGCATTGAAGTATGTTGGCGTAAATGACACTTGTCTGTTTGCTTTTGGGTTTCTTTACAAAAATAGCGCCGCCACAGTTTGGACAAGGTCTCCCTCATTCCTGGCTTTATCTTGGTCCCGACATTGCTTAGCTTTGCCTTACGTCAAATTTTGACAGTTATGATTATGTTATGATACATAATAAAATTTAGCTAATCATTATTTCACAACATTGACATAAGTGTTAAACTTCAGTCTTAGTTAAGCTATTTGTGTATTAACATACGTAATTATGTTCATGTATACGATGTCATATTGCATTTTTTGTCATTCATTTTTACATGCAATTGCCTTCTTCCATCCAATTGCAAAGCCAACAACTTTCTATTTACCTTAAGTGAAAAAGCTTGGTTTGTCGTATACTTCCATGAAAGAAGAGTGACAAGTGTTTATGGAGTCGTTATCATGTTAATTGTTATTCCTCTGTTCCAACCTATGCAAAGGGAACTTAGGGAAGAACACCTGCCTTCTATTCAATAATTGGAGGAAAAGAATCTTCTGTACCCCTTTTTCATATATGGAATGGTGAGTCATTTGTTTGTTTGATAATCAAACAGCTTATGGTTATTGTTTTGGAAAAAAAAAAATGAATAACATCAATTTTTTTTTAATAAGAATAATTAACTAGTTCATCAGTTTGTGCTATGATGAGACACCTTGTTATTGGCCTTTCTTAAATATATATTGAAAAATCATTGACAAAAATCTCAGATGTAAAGATCATAGTTTAATTGACTCATATATATTCCATAACCAGGTGGCGAAGAAGCTATAAAATGTTTTTGATTGTGTTATTAGATTGAGGCAAAAGTATTTTTATTTTATTCGAAAAACTACCAGTCAAATATTTGCTTATTAAGTAATTTAAGTGTTTTTGTAAATCAAGAAAATGCTTTCCAAAATAATACATATTCATTAATAAGTTTAATCTAATAAAATCTTGAATATACAATCTCTTACCGTCCTTTAAGTAAAAATTTTAAATTAAAAAATCTTCATTAAAATAGCTAATTTGTTTCCTTTTATAAGTTGAATGTTAGTAAGTTAACATGTCATATTGTGGACAGCATAAGAATTTGTCCTAATGGATAAAATAATGATAAGAAGCTCATCAAACAAATATATAGAGCATTTGTTTGAAAATTGAAATTTGAAACTAAAATAAAAAAGTTTTAATACAGAGATAATGATAAAACTGGAAGGAAATACTATAATATTGAGAAATACAAATGTCCAGCTTTTGTACATGCATGTTGTAATTTGCATGGATTTTTTTGGAAATGAGCACAAATGTATTATGATTTTTTTCAAATATGGTAATTGACTCCTTAAATTTCTAGGGTTGTCTCCGATATTTTTAATTGTTTGCTATGATCCCAATTTTTTAGTACACGTGGCTAAAACTTTTATAATGAATTTATAGTATTGAGATTTGGTGATCCTGTCAAAAGTTTTACCATTATGAAATTGCTTTAAAAAAATTAGCTTGTAGATAATATTTAGTCATTATACAGTAGATGGATTCTCTAAGAACAATTTCATGTCAGGAGGGTATCTTAGGTGCCTTGACTTAACTTACAATTGTTTTCTTGCCTTTTGGGTTAGTATATCAAAAATGGTTGGTTTTGGAGCATGTATAGGTCTCCTTCTGGAACCTTCAGGTTTTTTGCTCTATATTGGCCCAAGCCCAATTAAGTTTGGGTTTAGGTTAAGGTTTAATAGTTATGGTCATGTTGTAAAACATAATAAGACCAAATTTATTATTATTATGTTTTACAGCAAGACCATGACTACTAAATCGTAGCCTAAGTTAAACCTATTTGTGTATTAACTTATGTATATATATGTATGAGCATAAGATGTACAATTTGTGTATTTCTGGAAACAAAGCTACATTTGTGGAATAAATGGATCATTTCTGTTTGTACTAAACTTTATTTAAAACTGGCTGTGCCTGGACCCTGGTCAACATCAAGAGGCAAAAGAAATTTAGGATTGTTTAAATGTTATATCTATTGCCTGTTCATATTTGGGTTGGGCGATTCAGTTATCAGCATCTCTCTACTCTTGGGGTGAAATTATACTCCTGGAGTTCAGCTATATGGATCTTTTAGATTGTAGAAATGCCTTTCATGTGGATGAAGAAAACTATGGCTGAGTTGAACCCTTTCTTATCTCTCTCTCTCTCTCTTTTTTAGATAAGAAACAGGATGTGAGCGATTTAAAACAGTATGTAGCTATGTCAGTAGCTTTAAGTATAATTCATCAGTGTATTCTGTCAGAAAGGGGGAAATTTTTCTTCCATATGGAAGGCATTTTGTTGTGAGCAAGAGTAACAAAAAAGGATATTAAGTTACTGAGAACTGGGATGAAGCTTCCAGGTGCTGTGACTTAATCACCTTTCAACATTCATATTTGAGAACCATTAAAAAATTCTGAAATTACTTAATCGATCATTAAATGGATACGCATAAATGTATTTTGCTTATTGGATTTCTCTGTGTGAAGGCTTTTCCTTCGTGATGAAGTGGACTTTAAGATCATAATAGAATGTGTGTAACAAAATGAATTCATTATTAGTGGAGCATCACAATCTCTATAATGGTATTCAAAGATATTTAGGTTCATAAAAACCTGTCACCATTATGCAACGGGAAAGCCACTTTGGTATCTAAGTGTCATCATGGTAGTGGTCAAGCTTGAACTTTTTGCTTCTTTATGGGCTTCAGTTGCAGAACAGTTTCATACTCTCTTTTTTTTTATTATTATTATTCATAGAGATCGGAAATACGGTGTTGATTTCAGTTTATGTTCTTTGAAACCTGTCACCATTATGCAACAGTTGCAAATTATACACACAGCTTATTCCTTTCTCTCTTTCCCTGCTTTGGGTTAATGGATGCTACCATACAAAAGTTTTTTACTTTTTTGCAGGAAAACAATCCCTAGTGAGGGAGTATTGGTTGAATAAATTATACTCCTATTGCCACATTTAGCATAAACCAATAAGGGTTTTTTTCTTAGATATTGTATGTTTGACACTTCAGTTCTTGTCTCTGCCAGATAATGAGCTATTACCACCAGAAAGCAGATGCTGTGGATTGAAATTATAATTGTTGATTTCAGATCTTGAGGCATAGTAAGTAGATAGGATTTGAACTTGAATCCTTGAATGATATTATTTTTCTGTAAACTTACTGAGAATTGAAACAGGAGTGAAGCTAATCTCAGTACTACTGTCAAAAGAGGAACTACCTGGAGGAGAGATATTATGAAGCAGTTTTGAGCATACAAATGGGATCCCTCATTGGTCTCTGATGATAATTCATCTGCATCTTTAGTTTATGGGCACACAAGTATACTGTCTCTCTTTTCTCTTTTGAGTGGGTTAATCATACTGTCAATCAGTGGAATCAGAACTTAACTGAATGCAAAAGGTTTTGAGAAGGTAACAGCAGTTTATAGAAGAGATGGATCCTTAGAGCTTTGGCTTTCAGTATTCATGGTGGACAAGTAAAAACCTCAGACAGATCACAGAATTATCGATGTTTGTCTAAAGTGCAGATAGCTAGAATAGCAGGGGGACAGGAATTTGTCAAGCGGTGAACAATTATCTCCAGGTTAAGGTGCGAAAACAAATCCACTTGTGAAGAAAGACTTTTATACTCACTTCAGGTTAAAAGGATAAAGGTCACCTATGGACTAGAGCCGACCAGAGAGGATCTTTTTCAAGCTTGGAAGGTGATATTTCAGTCACACGGTGAAAGCCGGAACCCTGGTACTTCTACTGTCAATTAAAGCATGATGAGCTGGAAAACATTAAGATTGCTAAAACCTCAGAATGATGCACATCGAGTATAATAGGTACTGCGTATATGATACTTAAAATTCCAGTTACATTATACTCAAACTAGGAAAAGGTATATAACAGTATAGAAAGACTGAACTGCTTAAACCATCTTATACAGATGCCTTGAAAAAGATACTAGAAACCATCTTGTATAAGAGAAAGAACATTAAGAAAGCTATAACACTAAGGACAAATTCCATCGGATCTAGAAACAAAAAAGAGCTTGTTTTATAAAGACTTAGATGCATCAGAAACCGTCATATAAACATATAGCTTCCAGTTGCATATAGGTCTTAATAAAACCGGCTCTTTTCTGTTTCTTGAACCCATGAAGTCCAGCAAATTCCTTTAAGGTGCATTGCTTCTTGGAGTGGCCCTTCTTGAGGCAGGTAGATGGTGAAGAGCTCGGGATAAAACTCTATTGCACATCCATGGTTCTTCAAAATCCTTGAAATTCCGGATGAAGTGAGTTGGATCAAGAGGAGCCTCAGGAATCTTTATGTGCAGTCGGTACTTCTGGAATTAGAGACAAGATCAACCATCATCTTCATACACTAGGTTTAATCATATCACAGATCAATAAAATATAAGAACAAATACATAATTTACATGTCAAAGCATCTAGTTACACAGATAAGAAGATAAAGCCTCAATGGTGAAGGCAAACCCTCAATAGCTTTACAGAAAAGAAGTCTACAAGCATTTACGCAACTCATAATTTCACAGACAAATAGCATTATTAAATACCACCATACCATTTTCTGATAAAGTTATTAAATACCGAGTCAAACAGCGACGCTTAGACAAGAAAAGGCAAAATGTACGAGAGGATGTGTTTGAATGTTTTTCAATTTTCATATCTACTTAACATTTACGTGAAAACATGAGAATGGCCCATCAGACAAAGGCTAGTTGTTGTGTAGATTCCTATACAAAAGAAGTGCCCTCTAGTCTTTTTTATCGTAATCAACAATAAGGTTGTATTATTGATGTCTCAAAATCATGTCATCCCCTAGCCCCAATTATATGCATCACTTATTTGAAGATTTTTGAAGAATTGTTATGAGTTTTCTACAAGTTTTCTGATAGGGTAATCAATGACAAACTCAAGCATATTTAGGTTCCTTAATTAAGTCTATTGGAGAATGGAGACTAAGCAAAGCAAAGTTCTCATAATGAACCATTTTACATTACCTAGTCCACAAATTACAACCAAAATTTTCATCGGGGTTGGCTCATTACTGAATATCAACTCTATGACAAATTAAACACACACCAAATTGTCATTTTGTGTACTGTTTGTGAAGGAATTCAGGCGAAAACAAGAACAAAACGACGTAAGTTAACATAACCCAGAAATTATACATCAAGTTCACGATCTCAAATTCTGACCCCTCTACAATATAAGAGTAAAATTTATCATATTCCAACAGAAATTTGCCAACAATACACCTAAAGATCAAAGTCAACCTGAAGATGGCTTTTCACTTGATCGTTGGTCAGCCCCTCAACCTGCATCACTTCTTTAATTTGCTTCGGAGTAGCCACTGCACATAAAGCCAAAATCCGCATCGATCATGCATCGGGGACAACAGAGAAAATGAGTGAGCAAATGGGTAAAGTTAATATTATGTTTTCTGACCTTCAACACCTCCCAGGATATTCAGAGCCTCCACAAACCTTTCATGAAGCTCCGGTGACCAGGATCTCCTGTTGTTCTTCCATATGGGTTGAGTTAACTGTTTGGGGTGATAATTCAGGGTTACAGGATCTGTCTTCAGATTCAAGCCACCCAGACCCACCATACCTTCAGTCCCCGGAGATTCAGTGCCCGTCGACCCTTCACTGACTTCCTTACTCTTTTCTCTTTCAGCTGATTCAGGGAACCTGGAACTTCCAATAGGTGACATCAATGGCACCTCCTGGTTGCCCCATCTGCATGGCTGAATAGGGACAGGATAAAATAAGAACCTTATTGACCCAAAAGAACAAAATGAAAGATGATGATCTTTTGGGGTTACCTGGGTGATCTCCAGGATTCCTTTTTGTTTCTTGTCATAATCAGCTGAAATGCTAATCAAATCTTTCTCTTTTCCGCTCGAATAGTCCGAGAGAATCCCTTCCTCATCCTCATAATACTTCCTCTTCATTGACAGAAACTCCATCAAGGGCTGGCCAGATTCTTCAGGTTCCTTTGGATTCTTTGTGTTCATGATTTCCAGCTTCAGAGTTTCGATAGCTGTAAATGAAAACCAAAACCAAAAACAAAAACAAAAATGCAGAAAAAAAAAAAAAAATACAATCATTTAAAGAAAATAATATAACCAAAGAACGAATCTAAATTGTACTCACCATCCATCAGGAGCAGCATGCACTGAGGAAGCTCACGTTTAAAGGCCTCAACTCGAATCAATTCTTCTTCATGTTTGAGAAGATAATCATTCAACACAGACAACTTATCCGATACATCGTCGATCTCCGACAGTCATTCACAAGTTCTTGATGGTTTTGGGGACATAAATGGCTTAAGACTCAGCTAATTCCAAAGAAGTTGAAGACATGTTTGATCTCTCAACTCAAGTTATCTCTCTCTGAAAAAAACCAAACCAGTCTCCTGTATTTGCAATGAAGAAGAAGAAGAATAGGTAAGGAGTTATAAATTCATAGTAGAGTAAAAAACTAGAATCCAGCCAATCCCAAAAGACAAATTAGATTACATGACAGATTCTCATGCATTCTTATCATATTTCACAACCACCAAGTTTTCTTAAGTATTTTGTCGGGAAAAAATAATAAAGAAAAAGAAAAAACTATAACTTCAGTCGCCGCATCGCATATATCTGATACAAATACAGTCCTGTTGGAATCTGGCCGAGTGAAACTTTTCCAGTTTTGGAATATTTTGGACTAATTAATAACTCTAAACCTAAACTGAATAACATCAGAAGACATTTATGAGTTTACAATATACTGTATTTAATTCAAACATTAAATATATAATAGTTTAATTTATTACATCTTCTATTTTAGGTTAAGCTTGCAAAAAAGTAAAAACCAGACAAATATGGGGTGTTGTGCCCCTAGTTGATCCCACAGTTTACATGAAGTTGAATTTCTAAACCACTAGTTTACGATTTAGCACATTGATTTTCCTCCAAACAAGAAATTTTTCTTTAATATTTTGTTGGATCCATTACCTTAAAAAGTTAGTTTAAGCCTTTCAGGAAAAACCATTGTTCTCAGAGCATTGAGAATCTTTATGCCTTGTCGTTAAGAATTTTGCAGATGATTTTGGTCTTTAATTGGTGTCAAGATTCCATTATATGAAGAAATGCCATAAATAATCTATAATTACTAATCATATCAAGATATCTAAATACTTATAATTAGTTAATTATCATACATAGAATCCATCATACACGTCAGTCCAGTCTCAAATATTCTATTTGAATCCTTAATTAACATTAGAATATCCTAAGTTATTGAATATAGATAATATGATCATCCTTTTGATATTATATAGAATATTTTAACAAGAAATCTGTGGGAGGGTATCTTCTAAAACTTAAGTAAAACTCTATTATGCGACATATGGCTTAATATATATGAATGTGCACATGACTCATCTAATATAGATCTAAAAAGACCATTTTACCATTTAATTTTTTAAGAATAAGATTAACTCTTTTTTTATTATTTGTTGTTGTTCAAAAGTTTTGCATGGCGAAAAGCTGAAAAGGCTTTTGTTTTTTGCTCTAGTAGGAAATCGAATTTGGGATTGTGAGTTAAGCTAGGGTGAGCATGGGAAATGATGAACCGGAATCAGCCCCTTAGGGTCCATGCCGGTTTGGAAAATTGGAACGGGAATTCTTGGTCTGGTTCCGGTTCCTACAAGGAACAGAACCGAAACCGAGGTTTGGTACCGGGGTAGGAACTGGACTGAATTATAAATTTTGTAACATTAGGGTGTATTGTCATTTTTTTAAAAGTAGGAGTATTAAAATTTCCCAAGTACCTGACCAGAACTAGATGTTATGTTTCAAGTTCCTTCTAGTTTTCTAGTAACCAAAACTGGCCGTTCCAGGTTCTAGGTTTCTAGGACCCAAACTAATCGTTCTGATTCTCAAAAAATACAGGATATCTGGAACCGATCACCCCTAGTTAAAGAATGCACAACCCTCTTGGTTGTTCTTACCTAGGGTACACATGGGTGGTGAAAAACCAATTTTATTTAGCCACGTTTTGAAGTTTCAACTAGGAATCCAAGTTTTTGAACATTTTTTACAAGGTGTCCACCCAATCCTTGAACTTTTTCCTTAATCAAAAAAAGAATATCAATATGTTAATAGTTTTTAATACACATTTATCTATAGTTATCATTAGTTATATTTCTATTAATGAAATACAACTGATTTTATAAACCTACCTGAGTATCAATATTATGAATCACCTAATTAATGCCACGTATTAGATATAATTTTAGATAGTATAATCGTTGGTGAAATAATTTTTAATTAATCTTCAATGTGCATGTATCTACATTATATTAATTTAGGGTTGGAATATTTTACAAAGTAGTATCTATAAGAGTTAATTATATGAGTTTCAACATTTCACAAAAGCATAGAAAAGTAATAGGTTAACACAATCACCCCACTTCTTCATCTTCCGTGGGGTTATTTTTACACCCCCTCAACGTAAAAAATTGACAACTTGCCCCCTATGATAACTATTACACCTATTACCATTACTTTTTGGTGTAAAATTAACTGAGAGAAAGGAAAAATAGACATTTTCATATAAATATAGAATTATAAATTAAATATTTCAAATATAAAAAAATTAGAAACTTTTTTAAAATTTGCAATTTATTAAAACCTTTGTTTTCTTTAACATTTTATTTGTAAACTAAAATTTTTTTTTTTTTTTGTAAATTATAAATACGAAATGAAAAAGTAAAATTTGATAAAATTTTACTTAAATTGGGGTGTAGAAATAGTAAAATACCAAATCTTATGAGAGGTCTTACTACCCTCACAAACATTTCTACTAATTTTCTCTCACAAACGCGACGTGTCGGCCTAATTGTCAGTTTACATTCCCACCTGTCCAACAATGGGTCCCCGCTTGACCAAGCCAATTAGATTGTCACATGAGGTTAGTGATAGATATTTGTGAGACCGGTATTATTGTGTTGAAAAGCCATTTAGTAGTGGTTAGGTTGAATGAACAAGTAGGAAAAGATAAGGGTGGTTTTGGAATAAAATTTTATTTGATAAAATTTACTTAATTGGGGTGTAGAAAGAGTCTAATGCACATTCAATTTATAAGAGCATCTCCAATGGGTGCTCTCTATTTGTGAAGAGCATCTTTCATATATAAAAAGATCTTTCATTAATTTTTAAATATAAATAACACATTTTTATTCAAATCCAATAGACTCTTTAAATTTAATGAAAATGTTCTTTATTTTTAAGAAAGAGACTTAATGGAAGAGAGAATTAATAAATAAAATGCATAGGAACTTGTAGTTTATTAATTAAAATTAGGATAGAGAGTGAAATTTGACTCTAAATATGGAGAGTCAAACTCGCTATCTAATTTATATTTTAAAGATAAAGAGTATGTTGGACTTTTGTTTTAATAGATAGACTCTTTATAATAAAGAGTTTGAATCATATAAAAAGTCATTTAGAGATGCTCTGAGACATCTTGGATTCTCTTTGGTTTTAAATTCATTTTCTTCCCATGATTTTGTTTTAAGAGATCCATTTTATTTGGGCTTATATTATTTGGTTTGGAAAACCTATCTTGACCCATTTAAATATTGCTATTATTCAAGCCCAACCTCAATGCTTTTTTTTTTTAAGTAATTTTTTTTTTAAATTTAAAATGATATTCTAATTTTATTTCACATGTGCTCTTAATTAAAAAAAAAAAATTGACAAAAAGGTTTGAAAGAGTTTAATCAAAACCAAAATAATAAGAGTAACTATTAGGAAGGTTTAATTGGTTGTTAATATTTAAACTAAAATTTGTGGCAAAGACAAGATCTTAATCACATGCAAAAATAGATATATAAATAAACGTACAGTCTTAAGTTCGATTTTCTATATAAACACTTAAAATTTAATTAGGAATTGTAACAGTGAACTATTACATTAATTTTCCTCAAGGAATAGTCACATGCATAAACTGATGCGAACACCTTGATTACTTTATTTATATATAACGTCATGCATATATACCAAGGGCCCCTTTGATGCACAATTTTTTACTACTATATTCCCTATTCTATTCAAAATATAACATTTATTTCCATATTCTCAAAATATTATTCTATGTTATAATCAATTTTTTTAAACCCCCTAGATTTGTTAATTAACTAAACACCCCCTAAATTCTTTTTTATTTTTAGAAATTGACAAAAACACCACAGCAACCCACATTTGCCAGATTCCGGCCACCACCGTCAGAAGTTGGCTGGAATTTGGTATAATGACGCACTACTAACTGGATCTAATCGGTAGTGCACCAATCTAGTCTTTTCCGATCAGATCTTTGGCCGTAACTAGTTGTCAACGACGACCATATCTTTGGCTATCGTTGACGACCAAATGCAACAAGATCTAGCCCTTATTGGCCAAATCTAGCCATAGATCTGACTTTTTCTGGTAAGATCCATCGTGAATCTGGTAAAAAAATGTCATATTGAAGCACGATTGGCCAGATCCAGCCAGTCGTGCATCGATACGATGACTCTGACCACCCTCTGGCGGTGGTGGTCGGCTGTCGGTATTTAATGGTAGGTGGGTGTGTTTTTATTATTTTTAATATTTTATTATAGGAGTGTTTAGTAAATAAATAAATCTAGAGGATATTTTTTTTAATTTTTATATTCTACATTGTAATAACCACTCAATTTTACTTTTTTTTTTTAAATATTATTATAAAAAAATCATAATAATGAACCAACCCCACTCCAAGTATTCGAATTGAATAAATCATTTTGCCTATAGAAATACAATAATGTATAAAGCTAATATATCAATCACTTTATTTTCTTTTATTTCAACATCCGCGTGGCACCACTGAGTTAATTACATCATTACAAAATATATAATTAGGGTTGGAATATTTTACAAAGTAGTTTAATAAGAGTTAATATATGAGATTTCAACATTTCACAAAAGCATAGAAAAGATAATTAGGTTAACACAATCACCCCATTCTTCATCTTCCGTTGGGGTATTTTTACACCCCTTCAACGTAAAAAATGACAACTTGCCCCTATGATTAACTACTTACACCTATTACCATTAACTTTTTTGGTTGAAAATTAATGAGAGAAAGAAAAAT